CTTGCAGTCTAAATAAATAATATGCATGTTAAATATATAATATATTAAAATAATACCTAGTGATCCTGCCACAAAGGTCCTTGTGAAGACACTTCCTGATTTGAGGTGAGAACTGTCTCCCTAATGTACTTTGGCATTGCAACTCTTTTCACTTTGCAAACCTGATGGAGACAGCAAGCAGCTATGCCAACACACATTGCACAGGCATGGTCCACTGTTCTCAGCCAGTCCACAGTAATGATGTGCAACCAATGATAAAGTAAAACAGCAACACCAAGATGCAATCAGAATTAAAAAAGAGTGGAAACAGTATTTTATGAAAAACAACAGGCAGTTGTTTATTATACACAAGGCTTTAGCAAACTTCCGAAGCTGGCAAATCAGGAAGCCAGGTGGCGAGTCATTACCCACTCCCCGGCTTTCTAATGGCCAGAAAGCCACCTAGTGACAAGGGAGCATTGGAGACGGCTTACTGGCTAATCGGGAACCTGGGCGGCAAGTCGTTACATGCTGCCCGGCTTCCTGGCTAATCAGGAAGCTGGGTGGAGAGTCATTACATGCCCCCGGCTTCCTTAATGGGACTTCCGGTATTCGGTATCAGCGATTACCAAATAAAAAATAATTGATACTGGCACTTGATACCGATAAATCTGTATCGGTGCATCCCTAGTTTAGATCAATTTTAACTTGTCAAAGTAGAGTGCTAAAGTAAAATTCTCTGCAGTCCCTCCCCTTGGGTCTTAGGTCCCATAGGTTCCTTATCGGTAACAGATGCTGAACACAGGACTTGTTTGTGGTACTTAAAACAGCCCTTTCCTTTGCCAGTGTTTGAAGAAACCCTTGCCAAGTATGAATTATTCAGCTTATAAACAACTTATTGGTTAAGTCCGTCCTCCTGTCTGTCCCCTAAGGCCCAGTTTTTCTCTTATTGTTCACCGCCATCTTGCCTCTCATACAGCATAAAGAAAGTCAGCATGCCAATTACAGCCCACAGCTTATAGAGAGGATTACACATAAACCAATATTTTCACATGCTTACAGAATGGAAAAGTTCACTTTAACAACTGAAGATGAAAAGCACTATCCTACATCCTTTATATGTTGTGTATGAAAAATGTATTCCTGAAGTGGATTTCCCCAGAGGAGTTTCCTGGGGCAGTGGGGAGCTGACAGGAAAGCGCACCTTCCATTTGCATTGCAAAAACGAGAGAACTATTTACAGATTACTATACAACTTCCATTGTAATTGTTTTAAAGTCCAGTATTTACATGTAACTTGAAGTCTGTATCCTTAAATATGACCTTGTAATTTTTCAGAAGCACAGCTGTGTTGTACATCTCACTGTGCACTAACTCTGGGTAAACAGGAATGTTGGTTGTAAAAGTATATGGTATAATAGCAGCAGTGAACAACCCTTTAGGTAATATACTGTAAAATATGATTAATTTGCCTCAGGACATGTTTCATAAACCAGTAGCTCTTTTTACTTGTTTTCACTGCAAGTGGTTCTTGGCTGAATTTTAAGTAAAGCCACACTTGTTGGCAAGAAAACCAAAATGACCAAAGGTTGCCTACCCCTGTTCTATCTGAATAGCTGCATTAAAAGGTGTTTGCATTGGAATCTGCTACCAAAACTCACTGGCGTCCCTTGCCCTTATCTAGGCAGATAAGTCATCACTTGGTAAACTATATTGTTTTAAAAGTAGGAATCTGAAATAATAATCTTTAGATGAACCTAGATAGAAATCTTACTTTAACGTGCGCCTTGGATGTGCAAATAAAATGCTGCATAGGAATCCGATAGGGAAGGAATGTGTTGTTCTAGTTTCCCCACCCTTCTAACGATTAGGGTATATGACAAAGCCAAATTTTTTTTTCCAGTTTTGAATATAGTTGGGAAAGGTTAGAAGCCCTGTCTGGTTCTTACTGTTATCCTGGGTTCCAGTAGAGAAATGTACCCCTACTTCCTGATAACAGTTTCACCAGACAGTAAGTAAATAAACATTTGAAACAGGTAAACAGGCAGAAATAAAAATCTGACCGGGATTCCAGCCTTCTCCCATTTTAGTAAAGAAAAGCTTTTGTATTGCTGTCCTACGTGGTAAAACATTGCCAGCAGGACAGCAAGTGAGGGTAAATCTCTCAAACGGAACCCCGGATAGTAGTGAAAATCTGACAGGGGTTCTTTTGGCTTGACAAACACTTGACAAAAAGATTACATTTTCCTTTGAATTTTTTTTATTTTGTAGCTACATAAAAAATAACACCGTTTACATACATTTTATACAGTAACTTTAGTGACCTCGGAGGGAGGATACTCCAATCTCCCCCCGGGCCATTTGTATCTAAATATTACCAACATAATATCACAAAAACAACATAATAATAAAAAGAAGAGAAAAAAAAAGAAGCAAAAAAAGGGGGAAAAAACACCAAGATTCAATATATATTAGGTAATCTAGGTTTACCATTAATATCAGGGTCCCATATCAATTTTAGCTAATTCATAATATTTAAAGGCGTACTGCCCCTACAATAGGGTCACACTCTCTTCTGAGAGTGATGGATGGGCGTAGGCGATCCAGGGTTGCCACGTCCTCTCAAATTTCCTATGAGTGTCCAACAAAATGCTGGTTAATTTTTAATTAAGGAAAAAAGAATCCATTCTACCTTTAACCTCCCTAAAAGGCACAAATATTTTTTTCCATGCGCAGGCAATTGTCTGTTTAGCTGCTAGCATTACGTAGGTCATAAGCTTATGTTGGGAGTTTGTTATAAGGGGCGATTTAAGATGTAATAATGCCAGCCTCCACATGGTCCTCCTTCCTGCTCAAGACCCTCCCTCCCTCCCAACTCCAAGATCTCATGCGGTGCTTCCAACATTCCAAATGGTACCTTACAGCCAAACTCTCAAATTCCTTAGGAGGATTGGACGTGTTATAGACACACCTGGGAAATATTAGCTTAGGATTTAATATGGGGAGATCGGTCTGAGGACATTCCCTTCTTGTCATGCCCATTACTTACTCCCTTTACACTGACCCTTACAGTAGGCCCTTAGCCCCTTGACGAAAATCTTGTCCCACAGGACCCTGGTAGAATCCGATTAAAGCTTAGTTGATATGACACCTCGTACAGGTAATGACAATGTAGCCTATACATTTTCTGCTCTCATTCCGTGGCATGTCAAACGCAGTTTTTCTTTCTCTTTCTCTCTCTTTCCCTTTCTGTTAAGGATGTTCACTTTTGTTGACCATTAAGTGTTGTGGTTTGGATTATTTGATTGCACTATTACTGTTAATATAGATGTATAATAAGGTTGGTGAGGTCTGCCGCATATCTGACCCCCTATCTACATGACCAGACTGTTATTGATCGGAAGAAACTTTGGGGCATGTAAAACCCTTACTGTTCTGTTTTTGGCACCTCCTACATTGTTTTATTCTTTCGCATCGTGTACTGTATCCTTTGAAACTTCAATAAATACTACATGCTAAAAAAAAATAATGCCAGCCAAGGGTCTTTTTCAATGTTTGTCGAAAAAAGATCACAGGTTAGCTGAAACACTTTAGACCAAAATCTTCCCAATTCTGGGCATGTCCACCAGATGTGGACAACATCTCCCTTTATCGTGCATCCTCGGAAACAAACATCAGATTGTATTGTAAATGTAAAAGATTAAATTTTTTTACTGGTAAACGCCATCCATTTTGTCAGTCCTATTCTGCTGCATTTAAACTCCCCCCAGCTTCCCATTATAAACCAAAATAAATGCAAGCTAAAAAAGCAACTCAAAAGCAAGCAAATGGCATTTTAAATGCAAGCCATTTATCCTAAAAGCATGCTGCTTTTGACTTTTAACTGTGTACACAAACCCAAATATATATGCTATTGGAGGAAGCACTTCTAGCACCGGGTTTGCTGAGAAGTGTGTCTTGTAATACAGTAGAATAAGAAGAAATGGCTGTTATAGACAATTGAACTCCAGGTACCTAAATGTAAGCCTTCTATGAAATCACTACTAATTAGCCTTTCGCAGACCACTAAGGCGAAAAATGTGTGATCACATGTTACATGTTAATGATATTTTGAAAGACACATTTCACTAAAACAACGGTTAATATCAAAAAGTAAAGTGTATCTATTACGACGGAGATACTGCTTACATTGCTTACATGTTCTGAGGCTGTCATTTTTATGTATATGTAAGTTATTTACAAATCCAGTGTCCACACGTTACAACAATAACCAAAAATTTGAAATCACTGAACATACATTATAGTTTCCTTTCAAACAGACCATCAGATAAAAATCATAAGTTAAAATTATATACAGTATTCTAATGTCACCTCTTAAAATCAAAAGGCAAATGTGTACTGTAAGCTTTCTATTATTTTAACTTGTTTCTTTTACTGCATTTAGAACAGCATGTGCTTGTCGGCACTCCCTGGCAAAGTAATATTACTATAGAATAATAGACAAATTGTGTAATAAAATAAGAGGATAGAAGAGAAGGTAGCTTTAATCATGTGTCATCATACATCAGTAAATTGAATAATCTCCAAACATGAAGAATCCCTTTTCTATGTCAGGGGATTATGTTTGTGCAGGATCTGAGTGCCAGGTGTCACACATGGCACAGTCAGAGAAAATCTCTCAGTTAATTGTCATTCTGACCTTGTCTTCACTCTTCCGTGAAGCTGTCTGTGCTACTTAGTGTACACCATGATCAGGTTTTACTAGGGCAACATATACAATAAATATTATGATCAAACAAGAACATGGATATATACTACCTCTGTATGTCTCTGAAGACTATCCATTTTATTTTTGAGCAAAAAGCCAGAGTAACAGTTTTCCTTACGTCTCCATATAACTAAAACACTGACGTTCGCATGGATCACCCAAGCCAAATCAGGTTGCAGACCCCCAGGATAAAATATCAAATGTGATTTATTCCAATACCATAGATGAGAGGGAAAATGTGTAAAGGTTTAAATGTGTGCAGACCAATCCATAGGAGCTTGCACTACCCAACAAATACTCTAGTACACTTCTGGCAAGGGTTAAAGAGAGTAATTCTGTGTCTAATATAGAATAGGAGCCCCTAGAGATCACACATCCAACACAGCAATGAATGCTCAAGGGTCCAGAAGATTGTTAATTTTTTGTTCATTGACTACCTAATTGTGAACATTGCAATTAAAATAAAAATGCCTTAAAGCAGACCTGCATGTAAAAACGCAAAAAAACAACTGGTTTTTGTTCTGCTCATTTAGGCACTGGTGACATCACTTGGACTTCCCTGTGGGATCTTGAGGCAGTTAAGGATCCCAAATTTTGTCAAAATATGCTCCTGCATGGTGTGCATGGCATTTTATTGCAAGGACCATTTTAAATAGCTGCATTAACTGTAGGGATGCAATTACATGTCATCTATGAGAATGGCCATGACAACACTGGAATTACTTTATCCATACAATTAACTTTTTAATTCTAAAGAAGATTCTACCAGAACTGACAAGCTTCTACAACATAAAATCACCTCAGGAGGTGGCAGTCCATTACTTGGCTACAGCTCATTTACAGCTATTTTATATCTTTAGCCTTATTGGCAAAACACCCAGCTCTTTGAACAAAATAGTTTTGTAGCATAACTCTTGATCAAACTGCTTGCATTTGATTCGTTGACTACTGCCTTTAACCTTGTATTGCTCTCCAGGAGTCACCCTCACTCTTCCGACATAGCAGCTCTGTCTTAACTGCTAATCCAGAGTGGTTGGCATAGGAACTCTGTCTCCAGTTCATCTTTGCAAAATTAGGTCTACTAGACATAGGAAAGACTTAGTTTCCACCTGAATATTTGGTAATCCATTTATTCTCCTGCTACTGAGCCACACTGTTAGCCTTAATCTCTTATCTATTCTTATGCTCATGCTTGTTCCCATGTGCTCTCTTGTTGCTTGTTGTAACTTTGTCCAAGCTTTGGAGAGCTCTACTATAGAGACATATTGAAACCTCAAACAAATTAATACCTAAGCACACCAAAAATCTCTGTATCTATGGGTTTCAGATCCCATGCTTGCTAGTCCCCATGTAAATCTATGCAAGATACAGGTTTCAGACCAGGGTCATGTGTCCTGGGCGCTGAAAGTTAGCGACACCAACAGTACCATGCAGATATTTGATAGGTGAATGCAGCAGCATTTAACTAAAAAATAGATTCCCACAGTGGCTGTCCACACAGTCTTGCTGTGTTGGTAGACAAGATAGGCAACTTCTGTACCAGTGTAGAGACAGTACATTTACATCCCTTCTGTGGTGATTAGAGTATAGTGTCCATTGGTAGCTTTTTTTCTGTAGGACAGTGCACAAACAGTGTGCAGGTAGGCCCACCACTGTCAACAACCCCAAACCAAAGAAAACTAATTGCCTCCTATTTTTTAAAAAGAATGATGAATTTCAGATCTATTAACACAATTATAAATGTTATGTTACAAATATCTTTTAAAGACGATTAGCAAATCATGAGATATGAAGACACTATGGCTGCTGAAAATAAAAGTCTTTGCTATATTTTAAAAACTTTTAAAGGGCTCCTTGATTTAAAAAAGTATCAATGCTTAAAAAGTATACTATATATACTTAGACACACACACTATTTATCACTCTTTCAAATACATTACTGGAATGTAAGTACCCCTTACCCCAGCCTAAATGTAAATTCATAGCCATCACCACCACCAACACCACACAGCTCACCCAGGCTGACAAGCACTTGTGACCTGCAGCAAGTCTACAAAGATGTGAACACCCACATATCACCCTAAGGATGATAACAATCTGTAACTCACATAAAGCTTCCTGGCTGAAAAGGATATATGCCGGATATATGTTTGCATTGCTCTTATGTAACATTGTTATCTAAGTACACTGGTTTGTAAAAGGTTACAAAACCTGTTTGCCAGTTAAGTAACATTTCTGCATGCTATAGTTTTTTTTTATATTGACTGATTTTTGTTTACAGGACCAAAATGCAAAAGGTTCAATTCACAACGCTAACACACCAGGATAAGGATACATATTGTTTTTTAACGGTGACAGTTATTTTCACTAGAGTGTGATGTGCTTTGAAAATTACAGTCATGTGGCTAAAATAAACATACTTACCCTTGCGTTTGTGAATTTAACCTAAAGTGTCATTTAGTTCAAAATTCCTTTGTCCTGTTCCTGGACAAAATAAAAATATTGTGACCTTATAGCAAACGTACTATATTCCATTATTTGCAGCATGTTCAGCATGAAATGGGCATTATCAGCGTAGCAGAAGATTATTATAGACCAACCTAATTTTCTATTTGTGCTTTATCCCTCTACAGAGTTATTTATAACAGAAGATGAACTAAAAAAAGTACATGATTTTGAAGAACAGTGTATAGAAGAGTATTTCCGAGAAAAAGATGACAGGTTTAACTCTTCTAATGATGAAAGAATTAGAGTCACGGCAGAAAGGTGAGCATGTGGTTTTCTATTGCTTCTTAAAAGTGGCTATTATTACAGATGATCATTTTCTTTTCCAGTAACTAATAGCTTATATCTGCTATAGCCGAGTGTACTGGTCTAAGAGTGCACACTTACGCCATCTGCTAGAATTTATCAGCACTGCAACTTATTCAGGTTCAATTGTCCTGCGATGTTCCAGATCTGCCTACTTTGCCTAGCAGCGCCTGCCCTGGTGACATAACACAAAATTCTATGTAGCATTATACAGAAAAAGTACAGAGTACTGTAACAGTACAGAGAACCGCAAAATATGTTGAGCAGGACCCCAAACTAACACTAACTGCACTACCTATTCACTAACACTAACTGCACTATCTATTCACTAACACTAACTGCCCCTCATCTATCCACTAGCACATCTATGAAAAAAAAACTGGGCTGTCAGGTGGGCTGCGGGCACTGTGCGGGTTTTCAGGTGGGCTGTGTCCACTCTGCAGGCTTTCAGGTGGGCTGCGGGCACTGTGCGTGGGCTCTCAGGTGGACCACCTCCTGAAAAAAACCCTTTCTACATGTACAGGAAGGGACCAAGTTACAGGGGAGGGGGGGGCGGGACTGTACCAAGTGCTGTACTGCACTTATTATCAACAGCAAAAACAGTGGAGGACCTAAGGAACAAACTGGCCCCAAACCCCCCTCCCTCTGGCGGTCTCTGCACCAGAGGAGCTTACACTCTAATGTCCCCCCACAGTCACACACTATTATTATACATTTATATAGCTCTGACATATACCACAGTGCTGTATAGAGAATACTGAGCCAGTCACATTAGTTTCTGTACAGAGGACTGGTTGTAGGGGGGACTACAATTCCTATCAATATATTATACAGCAATGCAGAGCAGTATATGAATTGTAATCTGGGCTCAGGAACGCGCTGGGCTCAGGAACGCGCTGGGCTCAGGAACGCGCTGGGCTCTGGGCTCACCTGAGGCCCCGCAGAGCATACCTGAGATCCTGCAGAGCCCACCATAGACCCCACACATAGCTGAGACCCCACACAGCCCACCTGAGAGTGACCCTGCAGAGCACACCATAGATCCGGCACAGCCCACCCGAGACACTGTGTGGTGGGCTCTGCAGGATCTCAGGTGGGCTGGTCAGGGTGCCTTTCCCTGCAGCTCCACCTACCTGCCACTGCTGGGGCCCGGCCTCCTCCACTGTCACCTCTGCCATGCCGCCCCTGGTATGGCCGATACCCATGTAAGTAGCCCAGGCTGCCTGGGCCCCTCACATGTGTATCGGCCATACCCCCCTGATGGTGGCCCTAAGAGCGGTGGAGGGTGCATCAATTTTCTTGTAGGGGGCAATTGCTCTGTTACCTTTCCCCCCTGGATCCACCACTGGACACACACTCCATTGAGGCCCCGTTCATATCATTGTTTGGTCATATGACAAAAAACTTCAATAAATGAAGCTTTTGCTATCTTAAAAGGATTGGTGTGCTGGTGACTACAATTCCCGTTCATATCAGGGCGGTTCAGCCGCACTGATCCGCCGACATGAACAATCCCATACATTGCTATGGGGGCCGTTCATGCGACCGCGCAGCTCAGTGAGATCCGAACTGCCCCGCGCCCGAACTACTCACTGACCCTTTTTTAGTGCTGATTAGTGCGGTTTCCATGCAGCTTTCAATTGAACCGCGCTAGTTAGCGCAGTTTTGGGCATTTTTAATTGCGTTTTAGCGTTAAATTGCGTTAAAACGCAATAAAAAAACTCCCAAAACCTCCCTTTTGAAATCAGCGGTTTCCCGATCAGCGTGGAAACCGCGCTGATCCACAATCACCCTGGTGTGAATGGGGCCTAATACTGATGGAACCAGTGTGGGGAGAGAGAGTTAAAAAACACACATAAAAATGCTGCAGCTCAGGACCTAGAGTCAAAGGGGGTGGGAGAGTTAAAAAAATAAAAAAACACGTTGCAGCTCAGGAATGGGAGACAGAGGGGCAGAGAGAGGTTAAAAAAACAAACATACGCTGCAGGTCAGGACCGGGAGACAGAGGGGGGAGAGAGACAACAATCTCACCTAACGAGTCCACAGATGGGACATTTCATGGCTGTCAGACGGCAGTAGACATGTGCGATTCGTTTCGTTACGAATCGAAATTCGTACGAATTTTCCTGAAATTCGTAAATTCGGAAGCATCCGACATCCGAATTGCAGTTTCCGAATTATATCCGAAATACGAAATTCCGTTAACGAATTTCGGATCCGAATTTCTTTGAAAGAGGAACTTATATTACCCCTGTAAATGAGGTTGAACAACATGACAAGATTTTTTTTTTAATCCGAAATACGGATCTGCTGCTGCTGAGGGTTGCATTACAATACACAGGCAGGAAATACGAAATTCCGTTGACGGAATTTCGTTTCGTTACAAACATTCGTTATATTGAAGTAACATTTGTTAATATACTGGAGTTGATGGTAGTTTTTTTTTTATCCGAAATACGAAATTCGGATACGGAATCCGTTAACGGAATTCGTATTTCGTTTGGTTGACCAATCAGAGGTTTTCTCTTCTGCAGCTGACAGTTGCATTACAATACACAGGCAGGAAATCCAAAATTCCGTTGACGTATTTTCGTTCCGTTACGAACATTCGTTATATTGAAGTTAAAAAGCAAAGTACATTTATATTGGAGTTGATGGTATTTTTTTTTTATCCGAAATACGAAATTCGGATACGAAATCCGTTAACGGAATTCGTATTTCGGATAAAAAAAACACTACCACATCGACTCCAATATTAACAAAGGTATTTTTGCTTTTTAACTTCATCATAACGAATGTTCGTAAAGTTACAAAAATGTGCCGAAACGAACGAAAATTCGTATTTCGTACGAATCCGAATTGAGTTTCGGACACAAATTACGAAATACGAAATAACGGATATTCCGAAACGGAACGTAACGAAACGGAACACATTTTTTGACGGCGCACAAGTCTGGACGGCAGGTACATCCACAGTGCAGGATCAGAGGCTCAGGGGTTCTTCAAAGAGAGGACCGTCAGAGGGAACCTAGGGGTGGGGTCCAGCTCACAGGGGTCGCAGCTCGGAGCCCCATACCACAGCGGTGGCCATTTACCACTAGGATTTTTCCGCCCTCACCCCTTCAGCGCCCTCAGGCGGCCGCTTGAGCTGCCTTACTGTAGCGCTGGGCGTGCAAGTACTGTATGTCTAAGTGCCTCTTGCCTCACCTTATGGCTGTCCTATGAAACTGTCTGCCTTGACCAATGCCTATCTTACAATTCTGTCTGCCGTAAGGACAGCTTTTTAGTACTTGTTCCTTGTGGAGACTGCATGCCTCTTAAAGTGTATTTCCACTTTTGCAGTCAAATTTGTTTGCTATGTGTATTTACACAGCATACTGAAAAATATTTTTTTAAATGTTTTTTACCTTTTAGATGTATTGTTGTAGCAGGCAACATGGCTGATTCAAAGTTTTTCTGAGCTCCTTCACAGTGATCTGTCCTTATAGAGAGCCTGGACTGAAATTTGAGGATTGTGTTTCTCTCATTACCCCTGATATTTCCCTTTTAAAAAGAAAAGGAGATTGAGGACACAAAGTCCCCAATCTCTTTTTCTGCAGCCCCTGTTAGAAATGAGCAGGAAGCCTCTATACTGAGTGTTTCTGTTGATTCATAACTTGAGGACAGAGTATGTTTACTATATCCACAATCATGAATGAACATGAAGTAATGTTGATCACTTCCCATTCATTCATAATTGGTGGCACAGTAAATATACTCTGTCCTCAATTATTTAAAAACACTCAGCAATCACTGAGTTTATTCCCACTCTCCTTCCTGGATGGGCTGTCACAGGAGGCTGGGTGAGTGGTGTGGGAGGAGAGTTTGAGCTGACAGCTGACTCCTCCCCTGCACCACGGCCCAGTCTCCTGTCGCGGCTGACAGCTGCCACCGCCCCCAGACTGCCGCTCTCCTGATCTGTCACAGGAGGCTGAGTGGTAGGGGAGGAGAGACGACGGCCGCTCACAGGGCTCTCCTCCCGCGCCGCTCGGCTCCCTGTGACATGACAGTTTCTCTCCTCCCCACTGGGACACAAAGCAGCGCCCAGCAAGGAGGAGAGAAAGCAGGGATAGACCACTATTTCAGCAGAAAAATGTTCGGCCAATATGTTTCGGCGGCCTGAATTTCGGTGCATCCCTATGCGGAAGTACAAAATAAATTTTGGGCTCTCTATCTAAGGGATGACACAGGGTCTGTGCTACACTTAACAGATTTAAATACAAAAAAAATACTTAACTAATAAGGTTGAATGTATATCCACATATAAAAATCTAGCAAGCTAGTTTATGTACCAGCGACTATAAGTAAAAAAGAAAAAAATGAATTTCTTTTTAAAAAATAGCATCTTGTCAAACAAATACAGTTTCATATACTGTAGTGCTTAAAAGAAAGTTATACATATGCTGTTTTCTTTTTCAGAGTGGAAAATATGGCTATGCGCCTTGAAGAGGTCAATGAAAGGGAACATTTCATGAAGGCATCTCTTCAAACAGTAGATATAAGACTTGCTCAGCTTGAGGAGATGCTGGGAAGAATGACTACAGCACTAGAAAAACTCACAGGAGTGGAAAGAGTAGAGAACAATAAAACAAGGTCTAGAACCTCCTCAGATTGTACTGATGCTGCTTATATAGTTAGACAAAGCAGCTTTAATAGTCAAGAAGGCAATGCCTATAAACTGCATGAAATTATAGACCCTGTTGGTGAAGAACCATTGTCCCCCACATCACCCACCCTTATGCCTCGAATGAGAAGTCAGTCATTTTATGCAACAAATTTAAAGGACAGAAACGGGTTAGAAAAATTTGATGGTTTCTTTAAGGAAAATACTTTAAGCCTACACCGTGCGATAAGCTCCCACTCTATATCTAAGGATATAAAACCTCCCCCTTCCCCACTAAATTCTTTGTCAGTAGCTCCAGACTCAAGGAGGCCCTCTTCTTGCATAGACATATATGTTTCAGCTATGGATGAGGCACAGTTTGGCATAGACTGTGGAGAAAGCTCAATGAATGTAGGCTGCAGTGATCACTTGGCAGATTCAGCTTTTATAAGTCGGGGCTGTAGTTCTTCCACTCACTGTGGGGGGAAAGGCTGCAGCAGAAATCCTAGTTATGAGGAAGGCACAACAACAGACACCCTTGGATATCTTTCAGAAAACACAAGTATGCCACGTGGCCAAAATCCCTGGGATACAGACCCCCCAATGTATCATACACTAGAACGTTCTAAGAGCAGTCGCTTTCTAGCTACAGCTCCTTTCATCCTAGAAGAAACGCCTATAGTAAAATCACAGAGTTTTATATTTTCTCCCTCTAGAAGTTATTATAGCAATCTTGGTGTAGCAGTAAAGACTGCAGAATATACAAGCATAACAGACTGTATAGATACCAGGTGTGTTAACAATACACCCCAAGCAACTGCTGAAAGGTCCACATCTCCAGGCTTTGTTCGAGAAAAAGTAGAAGACCTTAGCTGCTGCCATCCAGAGAGAGAAGCTGAACTTAGTCATCCAAGCTCAGACAATGAGGATCCTGGTGCAGATGGTAAAAACAAATGCTCAGCTTCCCAAGAAAGTTCATCATCAAGAACGATCTTCAACAATTTAACATTCCCAAAGATTGAAAGAGCAAACAGTTACTCTGCAGAAGAACCCAGCACAATGTACGGGCACACAAAGAAGAGCTATTCAATAAGTGATAAACTTGATAGCCAGCGTACTTCTTCAAGCCTTAGAAATCCATTCCAAAGGAGTAAGTCATCCAGGCCTGAAAGTAGAGGAGACACTATGTCTATGCGTCGACTTTCAAGAACGGGAACCTTTCGTAGTTTTGAAAGTAAACACAAGATCTAAAACTATTTTGTATATATTGAAAAGGGAAAATATGTAAAAGTTGCCCACCCACAATATTTTCTATCACCATACAGTGACCTCACCACGTGAATCATTAACTTAAAAACCCACCACTGAAACATTCCAAGCAATCACTGTACTAAACCTGTCCAAAAATTACTTTCAGTATAATTTTCAGTATAATAATATTCTTACATAATGGTCGAGTCTGCAATATAATGTGATTCATATGCATCGTACAGACATTTAAGCCTCTTTTCCAAGGGTTTTTATGAACGTGTCTCAGTTGAAATGTCAATTTCACAAAATGGTTTATCTCCCTTGTTTCTTGGGGTAAGTTAAGAAATTTGCACAGCACAGAGGGACCTGAACATTGAAGCACATGTATAATGTACTTGATATGTCCTGTGTTTTACTCTCTGTTAATAAGCCTCTTTTGTCCTGTTTAGTGTATTCCACAACAGGAGCTCTCAGGTCTGAATCCTGTCCTGCCAACAACACTTCAGTTGATCATGTCCGAAGAGCAAACATGACAACATAATTGCAGCATGATTAATGGCCTGCCTGTTCTGTATTAGCTTCCAGTGCCACATGACAGTTCTGTTTTTTCCAAAAACAAAAAAATGCCTTTTGTATTGCTAAGAGCAGAAAGTTTTATCTTATATATGTATATATCCAAAATAAACTGTTTGTCTTTGATGGGCATTCTAGCACAGTAAAGCAAGCTCAGGATGAATGTAATTTCATGGCTTAATGTAATATATTTATTTTTTTACCATGTGTTGTCAATACAATTGCCTAAGTAAACGCATGCTTTAAAAGCAGTGGTGAAAATATGACGATACATGTTTGTGAGAGGAGTGTGATATTCTTAACCTCACTGTTTTGTTTCTGTGATTTTTGGTTTCTAAATCTATATTCCACGTTCTACGATCACTGCCAGAGTATTTAATCTTTAAACTGCCGATTCATTGTATAAAAAAAAAAGGAAATAGAAAAATGTGTTTACTTTTTTCAAATACATAAAAGTCTTTTTTTTATTGTACTCAGGGCCTGATTTACATAGGCGGAGTTTGTAGGCACACTACTGCTGCCAATTCAGCACCTTAAACAATCCTAGTTGCACATTATATACAGCATTCTCAAGGTTCTCTTTTTCACTGACAAGGTAGAACATTGAAAAAAAAACATTGATAAGGTTTCTAATAGATAAAAAAAAATATTTATAGACCATGCAAGACCTAGGCTAACAATTGTCCATTTCTAAATGAGACCTACTAAGAAGGGTTGCCATCTAGCCAGGACGGTAAGAATGGGACTCATAGCCAAAGTTATTAGTAGAAAAGAGGTAATAAGTATCATGAGGGGTCACCTTGCTACCAAGTCTATTGCTAAACATGGCTCCAACTGCACTGCACAGTAGTACATGTTGGCCAATTCATAAGAATTCATATGGAAGGTTTGTGCATTTGATTCATAATTTAGAATATATTTATGACAATGCAAACTAACAGCTAAATAAGTAATGTGTCTGATTTGTAGCTTTGGTTTCCCCACTTTGACCCTTACAAAGCTTTAAAATATTTTTTCTCATATAAGACAAAAGTGAAAGGCAGAACACAGTCATAATCCACTGGCCATAAGTGTCACATATTTTATATAGAGGCCTAGGGTTCTTATCTAATGTGTGTGGAGGCAGCAGGAGCGGCCCGAGTCCGGGTGTCACCCGGAGCGGAGATCGGGTGACACCCCGCCGTGACGTCATCGTGTATGCGCTGACGACTTATTGACGCAGCCGGCGGACATCTTGGCTGCACCCCCTGCACCCACCTTGTGATGCCACTCGGAGGCAGACAGGGGCAATAGCACTAGGTAGAAGAAGTGCTTAGTACACTAGCTTTATTTGATGGAATGGGGCATGAAAGTGAGTGTTGTTTACTTGCTATGCCCTCCCTTCCACCCTATAATAATCCATACCTAGTGCTCTTGCCCTCTAATATACCATATAGTATAACATGTTCTCTCTAGCTATAGAAGAATGATATTAATAGCTTATATTTGTAAATCCAGATGTTTCCTAGGTTTACTGGCACTGTAACAAATAACCCATGCCTGAGCCGTCGCCATTTTGTTCAATTTTGGTGACGTTGAGCAGACTGATGTGTTCCACATATCATCTCTGAAGAAGCAAGGGTTTAAATAATAGTAAATAAATCAACATTTCCTATATGCACAGTGGTGGGGAAAGATTGAAAATTGTCACAGACCAATGACATCTGGACATGTTAGGCTACTATGACTGAATAAAGAAAATGTGAAGCTTGTAGTTATAGAAGAATACACAGTAGTTACATGAATGACAACCAAGCACTTGTCTATGTGTATTTTGTTGAGTTATGTCTTAAAGACATTTACAGACACTGAAGGCTGCAATAATGTAGTTTTGATACATGAGGCTGGTACTATGTTTATATACCTAGGTTTTCTATGCTATGTGCTGACTTTTAATTTTTCCAAATATCAGAGTTTGACTTTATATACTTGTGACATCATTGTGTGGCAACATAAACTGCGAGAAACTTAAGAACTAGTGTACACAGGAATTTGAGTTTTGCTGTTGACATTTGTAATGGATGTGGAACACAGTGTTTGAATTTGATCTAATAGAATCGCTTATACTTAAATTTTTCTGGTGCTTTCACCACACATGCTTTACTCCATGCACATCAATGTGAGTTCATCTAATACACATACCAAGCTGATTTAAAACTGACCTTAACCTGATCTGAAACTGATATCAATTGCAAGCCATTTGTATGCATTTTGTTTGAAGGCTATGTACACTATTTCTGAGGCCACACATTCAGGATTCTTTTTATTCCACAAAATTTGAGAAAGCCCAATTAGGTATATCATGGATGTAAGATTTCGGATGTAGAATTCTTTGAAGGGAATAGCAATGGGAATAAAAAAATATTCACAGCAACTGCTAGTTTCCAATTCAGTAAGTCATATTTTGATGGCCTCTATAATCACTGCAAGATGTGTTAGTCTGTTTTATTGGTTCATTAATTTACCACCTGTTACATAGAAGAAAACCCTAAAATATGAACTGACAATCACCCGAGACAGTCAACCATCATACAAACACTATATGGCCCAGTGTATGCGAAACACCTGCAAAATATTAGGTTCAGATGTTTACAGTGCAGTTTGCTGTAAATGCTACATCATACAAAGATATGTTAAGCAACTGTGTGCTTTCAATCTTTTGGCAACAGTTTAGGTAAAGCCTATTTCTGTTTCAGTATGATTGTGTCTTTTTGCACAGAGCCAGATTGGTGAAGACGTGGCTTGATGCGTTTGGTGTGGAAGAACACAAGTGGCCTGCACAGAGCCCTGACCTCATCCTTATTAAACACTTTTGGGATGATTTAAAAAATGGACTGCAAGCCAGGTCTTCTCATTCATCATCAGTGTCTGACCTCATAAATACTCTTTTGGCTGAATAGGTACTAATTCCCACAATAGTGGGAATAGTGGAGATTGTTAAAGCTGCAAGGAGGGGGTGGGGGGACAACTCTATATCACTGGCCATGGTTTTCTAATGGGATGCGCAAAAAACTCAGGTGTCCACAAACTTTCGCCGATACAATGTAGTTTCAATGAATCATATGGATTTAAATGCAGCTAAGTTCTAAGCAAGAAATGCATTTTTGGAAGTAAACCTGACATTGAGTGTATCCACACACCTAGATTAAAATTAGCAGCACCTTTAGTGCCTTGCAAACAGTTAACTGAAATGCCTTTGAAGAATTTCAGCTGACCTTCACTAGTGACCATTCATGATCCTCTCATACAATTACATGGCAGACCTAAGAATGGTTTACAATGATGTACTTGAAACCCAAACAATTTAATTTATTTTATGACAGAACATTCTTCCCACCAGCATGAGAAACACCAATCAACTGCACCACATTCTTTTTCCATAAAAACATTTTAAACATTTTGTCTTCATGCCATTGGCTAAATTCTTGTCTTTTGTTTAAAAAATAATGACCTTCACACAAACAAAAAGGCCACTGTCCTGTTCTCAAGAAGTAATGGTATTATTCTGTTAGTGTATGACATATCCCATAGGGCTAGAATCTAAAACAATATGCATTTCAATAGTCCAGTTAAAGAAGGATTTGCCTGACAAAATGTACTGTGAAACACATTTTAAAATGAGCCGGCTAACAAAATGGTATAATATGCATCTTAAAACAAATGTACTTTTCAACCACCGTTGCTTTTTATCCATAAATGTTATCTACATAATATTATGCTATAATTAGGTTTCTCATAAGGCTGTCTGTGGATGTTGACATCCCCAAGTCATAAAACATTTCTAATATTGTTGAGGCTCAACTTACAGTATGACTCCAACAACTGTCATCACACATTCATTTCAGAAAAGCAGAACACTCACACAACATTTACGGTGTGGTTATTCTTTAAGCCAGTCTAAAAAAGTTGTATTTCATTTTAGAACCAAATTCTACATGAGAAGACATATTTATTACACTTTAATAAGAAAAGTGAACTACAGGCTGGTAATGACTACTTCCCTTTGGATCATTTTGAAAATGGAAAATGCTGCAGTAGGTAAATGCACATTTATATTGACTAATCGTAAATTGCTTTTATCTGAGCCAAAATATTAAATAATTTGTTACTCAGCATTTTTTAAAGCATCACCTCCTAACTGCATTATTTTTACAATATAACATTTGTAGCTCACTGGCCCCTACTGACTCAATTGACCTTTAAAAATAAATTTTGTATGAAGCACTCATCTGACATTAAACATAGTGTGGACACCTGTAAAACATGGCTATTCCTAATGTATTTGATTGGATGTTCATGAAAAAGTAAAACATTACAATACCAATACCAGTCTCAACTTCCCAGTCCTGCACACTCCCTGACACAAGTAGTGGAGCCATCAAGTTTGAAGTGTGGTCATGGCAACTGTTACATAGTTACATAGTATTTGAGGTTGAATAAAGACATAAGTCCATCAAGTCCAACCTATTGTGTGTGTGTGTATAGGTCCCTGAGTCATCTCATTCTTAAGAGTACCTGTACCCCTGTACTTTACGGTCTCTAAGGAAATCGTCCAAAAGCTTCTTGAATGATTCCACACTATTTGCTGAAATCACTGCTTGTGGCAGAGAGATCCAGACCCTAACCGCTCAAACTGAGAAGAACCCCCTTCGCCCCTTGTGTATGAATTTTATTTCTACCAATTTTAGGTGGTGGCCTGTAGTCTTTGTTACGGAATTAATCTTAAAGAGTTTGTTGCTAATATTGCTATTACATTGAACATCTTGTACATGAAAATCATATCCCCCCTTAATCTGCTTACTTCCAGCGTGAACATATTTAAATTTAGTAGCCTTGTCTCATAGTTCTGGTCCTCCACCCCCTTGATGAGTTTGGTTGCCTTCTGCTGGACTCTCTCCAGCTCAAGGACATCCTTTCTGTGTACTGGTGCCCAAAACTGGACCGCATACTCCAGGTGAGGCCGAACCAGTGATGTGTAAAGTGGCAAAATTATAGGCTTGTCC